GTCAAGGGGAAAACCGAGGAAGACGCAGGGAAGGGTGCGGGCAGTGAGCTTGTCCGTGCCAGAGGCACGGACGTGAGCAAGGCATCCCCAGACGTGGAACGCAGACGCGTCACCAGGGGACCCAGTCCAAAGACGGGTCGGCGAAACCTGCGGCTGCTGAGGGTGCGGCCACAAGTTAAGCTGGTGAGAAGCGTAGCGCACAGCGAACGGCCACAGAAAATGGGGTGCACCGGCATGGATCATGGAGGTGCGAGCGACCTCCATGACCAAACCGATGCGTCGCTCAGCGACCCCATTCTGCTGTGGGGAGTCCGGTAGGGTGAACGTCTGGGTGATGCCCTCCGCACGACAAAAGCGACCAAGGACACCGGAGGCAAACTCGCCACCACGGTCTGAGTGAAGACGCAAGACAGGGAGACCGCGGTGGACACGCGCAGAGACAAGCCAGGGGATGAGAGCGCCAGGCACGTCGGCCTTGCGCTCCAGGGGAAAGACGGTGGTGTAACGAGTGAAGTCGTCGACAAGCACAAGGAAGTAGCGCTCTCGACGCGGCCTGGGGACGGGGGCGGGGCCCCAGACGTCCAGGTGCAGGGTCTGCAGCGGCGCGGCGGTAGGGGGAAACGAGGAGGAGTGAGGGGCACGGCGAAGCCGACCCTCGACACAAGGCGTGCAAGGTGGGGCTGGAGAGGAGGGAAACGCGGGGAGCGAACCTGGGAGACCAAGGACGAGACCGTGCTGAGACATGTGACGCAGACGCGGGAGCGCAGGGTGACCTAGGCGGTGGTGCCACAGGAGGGTCGGGTGAGTGAGGGAGCGACAGGAGCAGGCAGCAGCAACCTGGGTAGACGCAGCCACCTGAGGGGGCGCTCCAGCCGGGGGGGTCACAGTGTCCAGAGTGAACAGGCCGGACACCGGGTCCCGGGGGAACGTGGACAGGGGGGCACCAGTGGCGGCCTCGGTACAGACAGCATACCGCTCGTGACCAGGGAACGTAGTGGTGACGCCAAGGTCCTGGAGGCAGCCGACACCAACTAGGTTCCTGGAGAACGAGGGGATATGCAGACCTGTAAGAGAACCCGAAGGAACCGCCGGACAGGGAAGGGTGGTGGAATTGCGGGCGACTACCGGACCGCCGGAGGGGTCAGCAAGAGAAACGGCAGCAGGAACAGGAAGCGGCGTCAGGGTGGTGGAGTCGCGGAAGAAACACCGAGAGGCGCCAGAGTCCAAAGTGAAGGAAAGCGAAGCCGAGGGGTCAAGCGACGGAACGACTGCGGAAGCACCAAGACTACACAAAGCAGGGGATCCTACGCCTGACGCAGCAGGGGAGGCTAAGCTAGGCACACATACACTAGGCAACAGTGAGTAATAAGCGGGAAGCACACTAGAGTCATCAGCATACATCACATGCAGAGCAGAAACAATGGCATCCATGTCCATATCAAAAATCTGAATCTGACGACTAAGCAAACTGTGCCAGTCCGGGAGGTCTGGCGACGGGCCGAAGCGCTGACGAAAGAGGTCGTCCAGGCGACGAAAACAGCGGGGAGTGGAGTGACCGAGCTTACCGCAAACGAAGCCGCGGCGAGGACCGGTCTGGATCTGGTACTGGCAACGCCCGCCGCCAGAGCCACCACGCGGCACACCACCACGCGCCCGGCCACCGCCAGCGCCGGGCCACCGTGGCGGGAGGACACTCGCCTGCCGCGTCTGCGACGGCTGCTGCGGCTGCTGTGAAGGCTGCGACTGCGGCGGCTGCTGCGGCTGCTGCACCTGCAGGGGCGGCGACTCAACAGAACTGGGCAGGGTCCCCTCGTCCACTCCAGCACCAGGCGACCCGACCCCACCACTACCCCCGCCCGCACCCCCGCTGCCTCCTCCGCCGCGCCCAGCCTTGGGGCGGCGGCCCTTCCCCGAACGGACCTGCACTGCAGCAGCAGTCGCAGCCACTGCGGCAGAGCCGTCGGAGAAGGTGCACTGAGCGGGGGCACAACCCTGAAAGATAGGGACCGGCACGACACCGCTCGCCTGGGCAATGGAGCGGTGACGGGTCTCTATCACAGTCAGGGTGTCTACAAAGTCAGTGAGGGTGAGGTCTGTGGGGTGAACGCTAAGAAAGCGGTCGCGGGCGACAGCAAGGCGGTCAGGGAGGCGGGTGGCAAGCAGGTAGAGGGTAGAGGTAATGGGCGGCTGGTGGGCTCTAAGCTGGGCGTCAGTGCAGGAAGCGCGCCAGGTCTCATCTATCGAGCGCAGGTGGGCAGCGAGGTCAGAGACAGTGGGGAAAGATGCAAGGTCAGGAAAGAGCATCGGAAGGATCAGGCGACCCACCGAGGCAGCCGGAGGGGTGGAATAGCGCTTGATCACAGCATCTAAGTATGCCTGAGCAGTAGTGAGGGACCTAAAGCGAGGACGCTCGGATGGGGGAAGGGCGTTGCTAATGGCAAGCTGGGCAACAGCATCGCGAGAAAGCCAGACAGAGCGCGCACGGGCAGTGGCAGCAGTAGCCTCACGCTCAGTGGGTGTGGGGTCAGCGGGCAGAATAGCAGGGGGGTCTGGGCAGGGGAGCGTACCGTCAAGGTGTGCGGAAAGCGGTTCACCATCCTGCCGCTGGCCAGTGAGTTGACGGCGGAGGTCAGCAAGCCACGCCTCGAACTCTAGGGGCTGGCCTTCAGCGTCGAAGCGAAGCTCCGCCGCCATCAGGAACAGTCCAGTGCAGTGCAGGGCAGTGCAGTGCAGGGCAGTGCAGTGCGGTGCAGTGCGGTGCAGTGCGGTACAGTGCGGTGCAGTGCGGTGCAGTGCGGTGCAGTGCAGTGTAGTGCGGTGTAGTGCGGTGCCAGGCAGTACAGTGTGGTGCGGGGCGGCACGGAGCAGGGCGGGGTGGGGGGGAACCGTACCAGTGAGGAGGACGGGGCCGGGGCTGGCCCAACGGGGCCGGGCGGGCGCGACGGGGCCGGGCTGGTGCGACAGGGCCGGGACGGGGCGACGGGGCCGAGCGGGCGCGACGGGGCCGGGCTGGGGCGACGGGGCCGGGCGAGTGCGGCAGAGCCGGGCCGGTGCGACGGGGCCGGGCGAGCGGGACGGCGACCGGGCGGCTGCGACGGGGCCGGGCGGCTGCGACGGGGCCGGGCAAGGGCGACGGGGCCAGGCGGCTGCGACGGGGCCGGGCGGGCGCGACGGGGCCAGGCGGCTGCGACGGGGCCGGGCGGGAGCGACGGCGCCGGGCGGGAGCGACAGGGCCGGGCGGCTGGGACGGCGCCGGGCGGGCGCGACGGGGCCTGGCGGCTGCGACGGGGTCGGGCAGGGTGCGACGGGGCCCAGGAGGGGCGCGACAGAGCCCAGGAGGGGCGCTAGGGGGCCTGGGAGGAGCGCGACGGGGCGCTACGGGGCCTGGGAGGAGCGCGACGGGGCCCAGGAGGGGCGCTAGGGGGCCTGGGAGGAGCGCGACGGGGCCTGGGAGGGGCGCGACGGGGCCTGGGAGGGGCGTTACAGGGCCCAGGAAGGGCGCTACGAAGCCCAGGAGGGGCGCGACGAGGCCCAGGAGGGGCGCTACGGGGCCCAGGAGGGGCGCGACGGGGCGCTACGGGGCCTGGGAGGAGCGCGACGGGGCCCATGAGGGGCGCTAGGGGGCCTGGGAGGAGCGCGACGGGGCCTGGGAGGGGCGCGACGGGGCCTGGGAGGGGCGTTACAGGGCCCAGGAGGGGCGCTACGAAGCCCAGAAGGGGCGCGACGAGGCCCAGGAGGGGCGCTACGGGGCCCAGGAGGGGCGCGACGGGGCGCTACGGGGCCTGGGAGGAGCGCGACGGGGCCCAGGAGGGGCGCTAGGGGGCCTGGGAGGAGCGCGACGGGGCCTGGGAGGGGCGCGACGGGGCCTGGGAGGGGCGTTACAGGGCCCAGGAGGGGCGCTACGAAGCCCAGGAGGGGCGCGACGAGGCCCAGGAGGGGCGCTACGGGGCCCAGGAGGGGCGCGACGGGGCGCTACGGTGCTTGGGAGGAGCGCGACGGGGCCCAGGAGGGGCGCTAGGGGGCCTGGGAGGAGCGCGACGGGGCCTGGGAGGGGCGCTAGGGGGCCTGAGAGGAGCGCGACGGGGCCCAGGAGGGGCGCTAGGGGGCATGAGCGGAAGCGGTAGGTGGGGGGGATCCTACCTACTCGTGATACCATATCAGAAATGAGAATTGAATAGATTGTAAAGTGAGAGTACACACAAATATACCTAAGTGTTGTACCCTCTAAGAGGTAACCCTATACAGTCTATACAAACATGACAAATGCAGATGTTTGACAGCTTCGTCACTTCGAGACCCTTCGACCTCCTTCTCGAACCTTCACATCTCACGTTTAGACTAGCTCTGGTGTTCCTATATCTTGGCTTGCCATTCCTTGTACCGTAATCACCCGGTTAGACGCCCCTAGGGGCGTTTAATAGACTGGTTTGAAAACGTGGGGGGGCGCGTTTAATTGAATAAAAAATATAAGCCCATTGGCGTTTTAAAGGGATTATATGGAAAATACAAGTTTGACATCGACGTGTAGCTGCTGGTTTGTCGTGTGCAATGGGAGTAATTTTAGGCGAGGATTTAAAGTCAATCGCGTTGGAAGTCCAGTCAACGCGGTGCCAGGCTGGAAACTTCCTTTTCTGATACAAATCGTGCTGGCGCGAGGTGTCAGGGAGCGTGTCAGGTGCTCCCGCCTCTGACGGGCACGAAGCGAGAAGCCTCCGTATTACCTGCACCCGTTCGGTCTATTTGTACAGTGTTTCAACTGAATTTCTGAGGGGGCTTATAGGGTACATGTTCTGAAAAAATATGGGGGGCCTATAATCGAATAATGCCTATAAGTCCCAATGCACGAGTTAGAGCCCATGGGACTAATCCTACGGAGGGGCGTCTATCCGGATGATTATGGTATCGTCAATTCGACTGATTGAACACTTCGTTATTCATTTCCGCGCTACTCTGCTTGTTCATTCATAACAATACACGTCGCTCGCTCGCTCATTTGCCTGCTAGCATGAATATTGTTCCAGCAGTTTCGAATCCTGCAATCTGCGAATCTTCGAACGGTCACGACCCCCGTTCCGCTCTGCCCGCTCGTTCTCCATTGTTCTTACGATTGTCCGATAATCTCCGGTCTTTATTGATAGTTGATGATTATCTAATGGTCGACGGTCGTTGTTGATCAGCCAGAAACGCGGCCCGCGCGCTGCTTGATCCCACACCAATGGCGCTCGTCGCTCCGTCCACCGCGCCCGCTTGTTGCCTTACGCCTTGTCTCGAGGCTGCTCAGACCGCGTGGTCGAGCCGCCCGCTTTCAGTCTCCATCCGCTTTCGCTGTCTCTCTGCCTCGGCCCCTCTCTTAGCATCGGCCATTCCCTCTGCCTCGGCCCCTCTGCCTCGGCCCCTATCAAAGGGTGCATCTTTGCATTTTCGCTGTCCCTCTCCCTCTGCCCCTCCCTCTGCATCTGCCCCTCCCTCTGCCCCTCCCTCTGCCCCTCCCTCTGCATCTGCCCCTCCCTCTGCCCCTCCCTCTGCATCTGCCCCTCCCTCTGCCCCTCCCTCTGCATCTGCCCCTCCCTCTGCATCTGCCCCTCCCTCTGCATCTGCCCCTCCCTCTGCCTCTGCCCCTCCCTCTGCCTCGGCCCCTCCCTCTGCCTCTGCCCCTCCCTCTGCCTCGGCCCCTCATTCTTTTCGCCGAGCTCGTCTCTCTTTGTACTCGCAACCCTCTCAAATAGGTTTTCAGCTGCATTGCAACCCACTACACCGCACTGAGCCACAGCAGACTCAACCGCAGTGCACAGAACAGTACCGCATTCAGCCGCTCAACACTCTACAGTCTCAACCCAGCGGCTCTGAACCTGCATCGTCTTCATCCGTGGAGTCATCTGCACCGAATCCAACCGCACTGCACCCTACCCCATCCCATACAGCCGAACTGGGACGACCCTCCACGCACGATTTTCTTCTTCCCCACCCTCTGGACCCTCCTCGTCCCCCTCCGTCTCTCCCTGAATTGCTAGCCGCTTGGCGAGACAAGAGAGCGAGACAACATTATGCACAACCCACAGCACCGCACCCAACCGCACTGAGGTCAGCTGCCCCGCAATCCTCGCCAGTAACAGATTCATCCACGTCAGCAGCAGCCCAATCAGACGTCAATGGTTGTAATACATCACATCATACAGCCCCTACGACCCAGACGGACGTAAAAATTTCGAGCACTAACGCAGTCCCCCATACCGCCCCTTCCGTTCTTGCTGACCTGCGGGGTGAGATGAGGTCTGTTGCTCGGATGTATGGCAACCAAAAGGGTTTCAGCAACGGGGTTGACTCAGGAGAGAGCGAGGGTGACTATAACGAGGTTCTTCCTGTACCAGCAACGGCACAAGAGGCCGAGGATCTTCTGCAGCAGCTAATACAGGTGTGTTGATGCCGAAGCTTTTATTAATAGAGACATAAGACAGGTGTGGCTGCTGCTGAAGCCTTTATTAATAGAGACACAATACTGAAAGACATGTGCTGATGCCGAAGCTTTTATTACTAGAGACATGATACAGGTGTGCTGCTTCCGAAGCTTTTATTAATAGAGACACAATACTGCTGCTGCTGCTGCTGCTGCTGCAGCAGCTAATACAGGTGTGCTGATGCCGAAGATTTTATTAATAGAGACATAATACTGCAGCAGCAGCAGCTAATACAGGTTTGGTTGCTGCTGATGCTTTTAGTAATGGGCCCATACTGCCGCTGCTGTTTCTGCCACTCACAAATGGACATGTGTGACATGCGTGACATGTGTGACATGTGTGACGTGTGTGACATGCGTGCCATGTGTGACATGTGTGACATGCGTGACATGTGTGACATGTGTGACATGCGTGCCATGTGTGGCATGTGTAACATGCATGCCATGTGTGACATGCGTGCCATGTGTGACATGTGTGACATGCGTGCCATGTGTGGCATGCATGACATGTGTGACATGCGTGACATGCGTGACATGCGTGACATGTGTGACAAGCATACCCTCCCTCACCTTCACCCTTTCCCCCATGCTGCTGCTGAATCGTTTAGTGCCTTGGCCTCAACGGCATGTCTGGACACATACTGCTGCTTGAGAGCAGCAGAAACAGCAACAGCAGTGTGTGTCCAGACATGCTGTTGAGGCCAAGGTACTGCTTCTGCTGTTTCTGCTGCTCTCAAATAGACGTGTGTAACACCCATACGTGTGTAATGACACCCATACGTGTGTAATGACACCCATACGTGTGTAATGACACCCATACGTGTGTAATGACACCCAAAAATCGACTCATTACACACCAATAAACATGTGTACCACACCAATAGACATGTGTACCACACCAATAGACATGTGCACCACACCAATAGACATGTGCACCACACCAATAGACATGTGCACCACACCAATAGACATGTGTACCACACCAATAGACATGTGTACCACACCAATAGACATGTGTACCACACCAATAGACATGTGTACCACACCAATAGACACGTGTACCACACCAATAGACATGTGCACCACACCAATAGACATGTGTACCACACCAATAGACATGTGTACCACACCAATAGACATGTGCGCCACACCAATAGACATGTGCACCACACCAATAGACATGTGTACCACACCAATAGACATGTGTACCACACCAATAGACATGTGCACCACACCAATAGACATGTGTACCACACCAATAGACATGTGCACCACACCAATAGACATGTGTACCACACCAATAGACATGTATACCACACCAATAGACATGTGCACCACCCATACTCTCCTCTGGTGGTCTTTTCAGGGGGCATCGACTCCTCACTGCTCTTGGGCTTCTCATCTCCCTTCACCCATACACGTACCCTTGTGCCTTCTTCTCACCTCCCCACCGCAGGAGACCCGCTCGCTCGCCTCTCCGTCGGGTGTCAACCTGGTGGCGTTTTCAGGCGGAGTTGACTCCTCGCTGGCAGCCCTGCTTCTGCATAGAGCACTTTCAGAAGTGCCTTCACCGTCTCACTCACAATCTAACTCTCATTCACACTCTCACTCACACCTGCACTCACACTCTCACTCTCACTCACACTCACCCTCACACTCTCACTCACCCTCACACTCTCACTCACCCTCACACTCACACACACACATACACTCTCACTCTCACTTACTCTCACACTCTCCACCCACAGTCGCAGCAGTGATCGCCCTAAGCCCCTCCCTCTCCTCCTCTCAGCTTATCACAGCTCGCCATGTGGCAGCAGCCATAGGCATTCCCTTATGGGAGGTGGGTGCTTCCCAGTTCTTTCTTTGGAGCCTTTTTGTTTTGTTTTGTTTGTTTGTTTTTGTTTTTGTTTTTTTACGTCGTGTTGATCTACTTTGGGATTGAGAGACCCACAGTGTGTTACCTATGCACTTGAGTTATCCTGCTTAACTTATCATAGGTCGCTATTTAATATCGTCCGAAGTCAGCTTGAACCATCTTGGATCACAGCATATGTCATCCGGCTCGAACCTTGTTTGCCCCTTCCTTTCCCTCTCCTCCCTTCAGGTGGAAACAACAGAGGATCAGGTGCCGGAATACATAGCCAATGAGGGAGCGAGCTGCTATGCCTGCAAGGCCACTCTCTACACCACACTGCATACTGTAGCGCAACAGTCCCTGATGAGGATGGGAATGGATAACAGCAAAAGCAGAGAAGGTGAGATGGGATCTCCTAGGCTTACAGGGCCACTCTCTACTCTACTCTCTGCATGCTGTAGCGCAGCTGTCACTTGCGAGGATGGGAATCGCAAACAGCACGAGGAACAGAGGTAAGCTGGGAGGTATGGTGTGTTCATCTGGTAACTTTGTGCAATGCCACTTCTTACCAGGTCACTTCGTACCAGATTACTGTTACCAGATCATTGTTACCAGATCATTGTTAACAGATCACTTAGTAAACTACCCTGCACACTTTAACATTCCTTCTCTGCCTAGCAGAACAATCCTAGCATGGCATCTTACAACCCATCTCAAACCCCTCTCAATTCCTCCCACTCCTCTGTACCTTTCTCAACCACTTCCCCTTCCCTTCCCCCAGTCACGCTTTTCAACGGCAGCAATGCTGATGGCCTCTCAAACCCTTCCCGTGCAGAGGAATCCCAATGAGCCCTCCCTCTCAACCCCTCTCAACCCCTCTCAACCCCTCTCAACCCCTCTGTGCCTCTCCCAATCCCTTCCCCCAGTCACTCTTTTCAACGGCACCAATGCGGACGATCTCTCAGACCCCTACCGCTTGGGCCTCCTGGCAGGTCTGCTCTATAATACCGCAGTGGCCCTTAAGTAACAATCTTCAATGACTAAACCTCCCCCCCCCCCCCCCCCCCCCCCCCCCCCCCTCCCTCCCCATTTCCCCCACTTCCTCCCTCAAACGAACACACAGTCACTCTCTTCAATGGCACCAATGCGGACGACCTCTCAGACCCCTCTCGCTTGGGCCTCCTGGCTGCTCTGCATTGCAACGTGGTGTCTCCTCTTGCCCGACTGCCCAAGGCTGCAGTGCGGGTGAGTGCACAGCTGTATTGGTAATAGAGATGCATTAGTGCCCTCACCTCCCTCGCGGGCCTCCTGGCTGCACTGCGTTGTAACGTGGCGACTCCTCTTGCCCGACTGCCCAGGCTGCAGTGCGGGTGAGTGCACAGCTATATTGGTAATAAAGATGCATTAAATCATTGATGCATTCCCCCTCGCTCGACTGCCCAAGGCTGCAATGCACGTGAGTGCACAGCTACTTGGGTTAGTGATGCATGACCTCTCCTGGCCCTCCCGCTTGGGCCTTCTAGCTGCTCTGCACTGCCGTGCTGTGTCGTGTCTCCCCCCGCACACCTGACATAGCCTGCTGTGTCGGTGAGTGGACTCTCCTATTATATGTCTTAGAAATGGAGTGTACTTGAACCTTCCCATTCCTCTCCCCCCCTCTCGCTCCCTCTCACGCTCTCTTGCGCTCTCATTTACTATCTCCCCCTCAACTCCAGAGCAGCAAGGCTTCCCAATCGGAGCATTCCCATCTGGGACCTAGCAGCCTCTCCCTGCCGACGCAGCAGTCTGGCTTTTGGAGTGGAGGCTTCCCCCTCGCCATCTCCCTTCCACTCCTCTCTCCCTCTCTCCTTCTCATCCCCACAGGCTGTAGCAAGAGCAGCAGGATTACCCAACTGGGACCTAGCAGCCTCCCCCTGCCTGCGAAACTGACTGGTGCTCAAGAAGGTTAAGGCCTCCCTCAGATTCCGATGTCCCCCCTTGGTCCCTCCCCCCCAACACCGCCCTCATGCAGTTGCCAGAGCAGCAGGCTTGCCCGACTGGGACCTAGCAGCGTCCCCCTGCCCGTGCAGCCGACTGGCGTTTGGGGTTGAGGCTTATTGCTCCCTACACCTCTTCCGCCTCTTTCTCCCTCTGTCGCTCTCACAATTTCAGGCAGTAGCCAGAGTAGCGGGCTTGCCCAACTGGGACCTAGCAGCATCCCCCTGCCTGCGTAGCAGACTGGCGTTTGGAGTGGAGGCGACAGCAGACACGCTCATTCTGGTGGAGAGGGCAGAAGAGATGGTGAGTGGCAGAGAGGAAGGGGGGATCTTAGTTGCTACAAACGCGTTTGGCGTTTGAACGCTAAACGCTTGTCATAGTGTATGTGAACGCTAGGCAAACGCTTGCCCGGGCAGGGGTAAAAAAATTCTGTGGGGGGGTGGGGAAATGGGGGTTCTGCAAGCAACCATTTTGTCGAAGAAAATAAAATCCGTCATGAACATTTAACCAAGCATCCTCAAATATCATGCAAAACACATGTCCTAAAGCCCATTCTCCCTCCCCAAACACAACAACAACCACTCCCCATGCTCTCAGGGGTTGACATGGGCGAACGCCCTTAAGTTAATGTATTGCGTGGGGTGTGAAAGTTGCTACGGCTATGGCGCGCGGCAATTAGAAAGCAGATCTGACGGGGGAAGGAGATTGGGAGTTTGCGTGAAACTACGAGATGTGAGGAGGAGGGGTTGGAAGCTCTAGTTGACGATGTGTGGAGTGCGGTTGAGGGGGGGGAGTTGGTTGAGAGGCGAATATTGATGAGATGGTTGGGAGTTGGGACTTGGCGAATGTCGCGCTGAATTCGCCAAGTCTCAATTTCGCCCTAAAAATTTTCGATTTTTTTTCCAGGGGGCAGCCCGAAAAAAAAACCCAGTGAGCGTTTGCGTTTTAGGGTTCGTTTGGCGTTTGCGTTCAAACGCTCGTCTGCCAGAGCGTTTGTAGCAACTAAGGGGGGGATGGGGCGATGGGCGTAGAGGGTGGGAAGGATACGAGTGAGGGAGAAATAGCAGGTAGAGCAGAAAGGCATTTGGGGTGAAGACGACAGCCGATGCACTGATGATGGTGATAGGAGAGGAGAGATGGTGAGAGGAGAGGAGAGATGGTGAGAGGAGAGGAGAGATGGTGAGTGGAGAGGAGAGATGGTGAGTGGAGAGAAGAGATGGTGAGTGGAGAGGAGAGATGGTGAGTGGAGAGAAGAGCGAATAGTGTGTTAACAAGAGAGGTATAGAAATAGGTTTACTCCTTTCTTCGAGGTGTAGTTCCAACATGAGGAGGAAAAAAGGTACATTTCCTTAATCAGTTTCCGGCCTTTTGCCTTCTTCTCTCGTGCCTGTTCTTCTGAAATCGGCCTTTTCACCCCCTCTCCTCTCTCCCTCCCAGGTCCGCTCGTTTCTTCCCCTCACCTCAAGAGACAACATGAGAGTACGCCTGCTACATCCCACACCCCTTCCCTCTTGCCTTCCCACCACCTCAACCATCACCCCCGCAACTGCTGCCTCCGACCGCCAATCTCCCTTGGATCAACCGCCAATCGCACGTACTGTCTCGGCAGCAGCCAACCAGCCACCGATCAAGAGATCTTCAACTGCTGTCCGGCACCCACCAACCAGCAACTCCTCACTACCGTCCCAGCACCAGTCAACCGGCAACTCCTCACTACCGTCCCAGCCCCCCACACTGGGAGCAAGCTCAGCCCCCGTCGGTGCTCTCACTGCCCTTCTGGAGGTGGACCAGCACTGCTTGCAGCGGGCCGAGGCACAGCATGCGGGGATTGCAGCGGGAATGGCGGCCATAGGGCTCCACTACTGGGGCTGCAGGGCGTTCAAAAGTGGCAGCCTGGTGCCTCTGTAGGTCCTCTATATTGCAACTTGCATTGCCTGCACTGCAGCGGGCTGAGGCACAGCATGCGGGCATTGCAGCGGGTGTGGCGGCAACAGGGCCCCAATACTTGGCCTGCAGGGCGTTCAAGAGTGGCAGCTCGCTGCCTCTGTAGAGCTTGCATCGATGGTGTTGGTCGTAACGGGCGCTACAAGCCTATGAGTCTGGGAGCTACGTAGCGGGTTAGTGCGCCCACAACCCCCCAGGCAGAGAGGCTTGTAGCCCTTCCCCGAGGATCTCAAGGGCAACCCCAGCGGGTCTCTCGACACTACATTCCTATGACTAAAGGCGCTAGTACATTTTGTGGAGGAAAGATGGACCACATGTCCACGAACTCTTGAGGTCACGTTTGAGGCACCTGAAAACAGGTATGTAGTTCTAAGTTTAGACATGACTTACGTAGAGATTTTGCACTACAAGCTATTTCGGAAGTTGTGTACAAATGACATGCGTAAAGTGTCAGAACTCAGTCACTAACCACTGAGTTAAATGGCTTGTAAAATAGCGAGTCAATGCGCCCATAACCCCCTCGGCATAGAGGCCTGTGGCCCTTCCCCGAGGATCTTCTCAAGAGCAACCCGAACGGGTCTCTCGACACCCCCCCTCGCTGGGATAGGCGGAGGACACGAGCGCCTCTGCAGCGCTGGCACTGGGAATTGAACCCGAGTCACCCACGTCGGGGGCTGTCTCGCTCATGTTCGCGCCTCTGGCACGGAAAATCTCGCTGCCCGTACCGTCCCTTGTGTCTTCCTTGGCTTCCCCCTTGACACGTCTGACTGACACTTCTACCACCCGCCGTCTCATCGCCTCTTTCACTCGCGTGACGTCACCTTTGACGAGTCTGTCTCCTTCTACACCCGCTTTCCCACCGAGGTCTCTCGGTCACCCCACCCCTGTTCTTTGTCCCCACTCCCCCAGTAGCTCCCGCTCCCTATCCTGCCCCGTCTGGTGTGTCTCACGTCGTTCCCCTTCCCTTGGTTACCCCGGTGGAGGAGTCCGCTGACTTTGGGGGCCCTGCGGCTTAGGGTCCGCCGCCTGTCTCCTCCCTCCGCCCCGATGTCTCCTTCGCCTCTAGAGCAGCAGGAGTTGCCGCTGCCGCTGCCATCGACGCCGCCGCGACAGCAGCTGTCGTTGTTGCTGCAGCAGCCGCAGCCGCAGGGGTCCACGAGCTCTGGGGGTGCTAGGGGTGCGGGCGCTGAGGAAGGTGCTGTTTCTGGGGGCGCTAGTCCTGGGGTTACTGCCGTGGCTCGTCTCGACGGTCCTGGGGGTGGCGCAGGTGCTGGGGAGGGTTCTAGTTCTGGGGGTGCTGTTGTGGCTAGTCCTGGAGGTCGTAGTGGAGCGGCTGGAGCTTGTGGTATGGGCGCAGAGCAGCAGCAGCAGCAGTCGCTGGCGGTGTCCGCCCTTCGCCTCCTCGGTCTTCCCTCCCCCGACCGGCCGCCCGAGCCCTCTCCGGTGCCACTCTGCCGCCTGTCTACGGCCCTATGTTTCCTCCGTCAGACTGGTCCGCGACTCGTTTTCCCTCTTGTTCTCGTCTTGTGTATCCTCCTGTGTCTCCTGACCCGACGCCTTCGTCCCACTTCTGGTCTTGCCGTCCCTCTCGTGCTCGTCTTGTCTCCCCGGTTCAGCGTTCTCACCCTATGTTGCTTTGTTCTCAAGCGTCTCGTGCTCCTCTTCTCCCGTCACCTCCTCAGTTGTCTCTTGTTGTCTCTCCGCCTCCTCTCTCTGACTTTCTTCGTGCTGCTCGTCCTCTTATCCCTCGGGTCCTCGCCTCTCTTATTACCGACCCGTCCGTTCCTGTCTCGAGTCTCGACGCTCTTGTCGGGGCTGTTACAGACTTTGCCTCTACCCGCCACCTTGACTACGCCACCGCTCTGGTCTTTGACCTTGCCTGTCCTCCGTCTGTCGGGGGTGAACTTGCCCTAGGCAGTGACGTCCTAGAGGACAGGCAGTACGAGCTACTGTAGCTACCTTGTCCGAGGCCGCTCCTCATCTCTGCTCCATGCTGCAAGTCCCTGAGGGTGACCAAGACGCCCTTGACATCCTGACCCCTCGCACTTACGCTGAGACGACCTCGGAACCCTGTGCCTCTTAGTGGATAGCTACCATGGACGCGGAGACGGCATCTTGGAGATCCACTGGCAAGTACATCGACGCAGTTCTCCCAGCTGGGATGAACGTAGTCGATGGCCGGTGGCTCTTCAAGGTGAAGCGCCCTCCTGGAGAGACGACGGTGTTCAAGGCGTGCTACGTTGCTAGAGGCTTCAGTCAGCGCGAGGGTGTCGACATCTTTCAGACCTTCGCCCCGACCCCGAAGATGGCCACTCTTCAGACGTTGCTTTACATAGCAGCACATCGCGACTAGGAGTTGCACTCCCTCAACTTCTCTACAGAGTTTCTTCAGGGCAGTGTTGACGAGGAGGTCTTTCAATGCCATCCACCAGGCTTCTCTGGTACTTTCCCTCCTGTATCAGAATGGCTCCTCCGGCACCCGGTTTACGGCCTGCGGCAGGCGCCCCCGTGAGTAGCACGATTCGGTGCGTGCTACGTTAGCAGACCTGCAGCTCTTACCATCCTCTGTGGACCCTTCGTTCTTCGTTCGCTCAACCCCGACTCCGTTCTACATCCTAGTCTACGTAGATGACCTGGTCTTCGCGACTGCAGACAGGGACGCACTAGCCTCGGTGAAGGCCAAGCTGCTGAGGAGACATACGTGTACTGACCTAGGAGAGTTTCACCGCTACCTTGGGCTGCAGATCTCCAGGGACAGAGCAGCGCACACCATCACTCTCACACATTCACACTTGGTGCACCAGGTCCTTCAGAGGTTCGGCCTTCAGTTCTCCCCCGCACAGCCCACACCTCTGCCGCTAGACCACACAGGCTCTCTGCTTCAGTCCTTGACGAGCCGGTTGAGCCTAGTGGTCCGTACGCAAAGCAGGTGGGGTGCCTCATGTACTTGATGACTTGCACTCGTCCATATCTTGCATACCCTCTTAGTTTTGTGCTCGCTTTGTGGCGACAGGCAGACACGGACCACAGCATTTGTCGGCCGCTAAGAGGGTTTTGCGTTATCTTGCAAGTACATCGGGCATGGGGCTAGTGCTGGGAGGACGCAGACCAGTAGTTCTTACAGGGCACACAAACGCTCCATGCGTTGACGACGCTGAGACGTTCAAGTCCTCCCAGGGCTACTGATTTAGCCTTGGTGCAGGCGCCATCTCGTGGAGGTCCACCCACTTCTCGTCTGTTGCATAGTCTCGCTGTGAGGCTGAGATCTACGCAAGTGCCATGGCGGCACAGGAGCTCCGCTGGCTGACGTTCTTGCTTATTGACTTAGGTGAGCGGCCTAGCTCTGCCCCAGTCCTGTACGCTGACAACAGGGCCATGATCCTCCTGTGTCAGGAGCCCCAACTGGAGGGCAGAACGAAGCACATCCAGCTACGGTACTTCCTCCTGCACGAGCTACAGCAGCGCCGCCAGGCCCGCGTAGTACACTTGGCCTCCGGTGCCAACACATCTGATATCTTTACTAAGGCTCTTGCGCCTAAAGATCATCAGCGTCACGGTGTACAGCTTTGTCGAGTTCCAGTAGCTCCTCACTTGCTACGACACTGATTGTTTACTAGTTAGATTATCTTGACTGCCTTGCGGCTCTTATTCTAGTGGCTGGACTAGTAGTGCCGCCCTGGTTTACTCTTGTTTAGTTTGTACTCTTGCTGACTGGTCTTTAGACCCTTGCCTAAGAGGTTGGACTAGTAGTGCTGCCATGAGCTGGGTGTCTCTCGCTAGGCACTGCCCCTAGTCTAACCTAGGGGGTGTGTCAACTTCTACATAATTGCATATGTACCAGTTAGAGAGTATGTTACATATTGTCAAACATGTTTAGTTATCATGCTTGTATAGACTGTATAGGGTCATCTTCTAGAGAGTACAACTGTTAGGTATATGTTTGTGTACTCTCTCTCTCTATTCATCAATTTCACTGTTTGATATGGTATCACGCGTAGGTAGGATCCCCCCCCCCCCCCCCCTCACGCTTCCGCTCGCCCCCTAGCTGGGCCCCGTCGTGCTCCTAGCCCCGTCGCGACCCTCCCTAGCCCCGTCGCGACCCTCCCTAGCCCCGTCGCGCCCCTTCCTGGGCCCCGTTGCGCCCCTTTCTGGGCCCCGTCGCGCTCCTCCCAGGCCTTGTAGCGCCCCTCCAGGCCCCGTCGCGCCCCTTTCAGGGCTTCGTAGCGCCCCTCCAGGCCCCGTCGCGCCCCTTCCAGGGCCTGGTAGCGCCCCTCCAGGGCCCCGTCGCGCTCCTCCCAGGCCCCGTAGCGCCCCTCCTGGGCCCCATTGCGCTCCTCCCAGGCCCCGTCGCGCCCCTCCCTCGCCCAGTCGCGCTCCTCCCAGGCCCCGTAGCGCCCCTCCTGGGCCCCTTTGCGCTCCTCCCAGGCCCCGTCGCGCCCCTTCCCGGGCTTCGTAGCGCCCCTCCAGGCCCCGTCGCGCCCCTTTCAGGGCTTCGTAGCGCCCCTCCAGGCCCCGTCGCGCCCCTTCCAGGGCCTGGTAGCGCCCCTCCAGGGCCCCGTCGCGCTCCTCCCAGGCCCCGTAGCGCTCTTTGGGCCCCATTGCGCTCCTCCCAGGCCCCGTCGCGCCCCTCCCTAGCCCAGTCGCGCTCCTCCCAGGCCCCGTAGCGCCCCTCCTGGGACCCATTGCGCTCCCCCCAGGCCCCGTCGCGCCCCTACCTGGGCTTGGTAACGCCCCTCCAGGCCCCGTCGCGCCCCTACCCATCCCCGTCGCCCCTGCTCGGCCCCGTCGCCCCTGCTCGGCCCCGTCGCCCCTGCTCGGCCCCGTCGCCCCTGCTCGGCCCCGTCGCGGCCTATCGGCCGCGTGGCGCCCGCCCGGCCCCTGTCGCGGCTGCCCGGCCCCTGTCGCACCTGCCCGGCCCCTGCTCGCCCGCCCGGCCCCGTCGCCCCTGCCCGGCCCTGCTGTGGCCTGCCCGGGCCCCGTCCCTGCCGCCCGGCCCCGTCGCAGCCGCCCGGCCCCGTCGCAGCCGCCCGGCCACGTCGCAGCCGCCGGCCACGTCGCAGCCGCCCGGCCCCGTCGCCCCTGCCCGGCCCTGCTGTGTCCGGCCCGGCCTCGTCCCTGCCGCCCGGCCCCGTCGCAGCCGCCCGGCCCCGTCGCAGCCGCCCGGCCACGTCGCAGCCGCCCGGCCTTGTCGCTGCCGCCCGGCCCCGTCGCCGCCGCCCGGCCCCGTCGCAGCCGCCCGGCCCCGTCGTCGCCGCCCGGCCTTGTCGTGCCTGCCCGGCCCCGACGCACCTGCCCCGGCCCTCCATACTTCCTGGTACTGTCCCCCGTTCCCCGCACCACTTTGCACCCTCCTGCACTTTCCTGCCCCGCCTTGCATCGCATTGCACCTCCCTGGATTGCACTAACCGCACTGCACCGCACTGGACCGCACTGCACCGCACTGCATCGCACTGCACCGCACTGGACCGCACTGCACCGCTCTGCATCGCACTGCACCGCACTGCACTGTCCTCCACTGCCCCTCATGGCTGCTGAGCTTCGTTTTGATGTTGAGGGTCAGCCTCTGGAGTTCGAGGCGTGGTTGGCTGACCTTCGCCGCCACCTCACTGGCCAGCGGCAGGACGGCCACCCGCTTTCTGCACACCTAGACGGTATGCTCCCCTGCCCTGACCCCCCTGCTGTGCTGCCCGCTGATCCCACGCCCGCTGAGCGCGAGTCCACTGCCGCTGCTGCCCTTGCCCGCTCTGTCTGGCTTTCCCGCGATGCCCTTGCTCAG